TTGTATCTGCTGTTAAGAAAAAAAAAAAAAAAAAACAAAACTCCACCATCCTGCAGACAAATAGGAAAACTAATTATTTAAATCCTAATTAGAAAATATACGACTCAGGGAAAGCACCACGATCCAGTAAGTAATCTAACATTTAATGTAGAAATTGGAAAATTTGAAAGAGAACAAGTAATATAAAAATTACAAAGCAGGATGTGTGGCATGCTCTCATCTCAGCTAGGAACTCTGTGCCTGGATACTCTACTGCAAACTATACTGGGCCAACACTCTGGTGCTGTTCTAGGCAGGAGGTGATTCCCAAGGGACACGAAGCTGGATCCCTGGACTGTCCTACCCTCACGCCATTTTGCAATCACCAACTCTCCTTGTATTTTCTTCTCACTGCCAACTACAGATCAGTCTCACTTTTCTCATGAGTTAAGTGAGCAGTGTGCTCAAAGTTTAACCAGCTAATTTCTGGGGGAGGGACTCACTCATATATTTCCTTTAGTTTCAACAAGTACTCAACTCTATGACATCCGGTTATGCCTGAGGAAAGGAAAGGCTTATCCCAGGATTCTCACTCTGGAGTGTCTATAGCAGATACGGTGAACCTTTTAAAGTTTTCAATGATATAAACAGCCCATTTGCCATATGTTCGCCACTACTGGTCCATACCTTCAAAAGCATGGTGTCTTACTGTGAAACACTGCCACCACTGCCACATACATAAGAAAGATGCCAATGCCTACCATATGACAGTAAAGAAATCAGGCAGGAACCACTGAAACCAGGCAAAATGTCCTAATAAGCAATGAACACTAGAGATTCTTGATGAACAGCTACGAAACAGTGCTAAGAACCACACCTGTCTTTATCTCTGGTCACTCTGTGCCGGGATCTAAGGAGCTACTTCAGGCAGACGACTTTCTTCTCCACTGAAGGCCGGAAGAATTTATCTCTCTGCACAGAACTTATAGATAATGAAGGATGGGAAAAGTAATAGTCTGTTCCTAAGCTGACCTTAGAGAAGTTGAGAATAGCGCAGTGACCAGCAGAAGTTGGCAAGGGTAGAAAGAAGGAGGGATTGAGAAAGTAGACCACAGTAGAGTGAGACAGAAGGACCAAGCACTAGTGTTCTACAGCACACTGAGATAATTACAGTTCATAACTTATTGTGTGCAGTACCTTATAATATCTAAAAAAGAAGACCTCAAAGTTCCTAGCACAGAGAAATGCTAATTACTCTCATGTGATCAATAAACACTGTATATATCAACTGACTGCCCTGTATCCCAGAAGTACCTATAATTATTATGTGTCACTTAAAAAATATTTTAGGGGCTGGGGGTGCAGCTCAGTGGTGGAGTACTTGCCTGGCATGCGTGAGCCCCTGCATTTTACCTCTAGAACAACGCATGCGCACAAAAAGCAACAGGGTCTGATAAAGTCAGGGTGAAGGGAGAAGCACTTTTTATAACTTCCTTCCTAAGCTCTCTGAGAGGAGGAGACACGGGGAGACTGCAAGAGGGAACAGAGTACCACTTACCGCACACAGGCAGATGGGGCAGTGTGCGACTCTGGAGAAAGGGTGTTCTTGGGATCTGACAGGTGCTTTAGGAGAAAGACAGTTTCCAGATGGGCAAATGCATTTGCTGGATTAAACAAATTAACGTCCTGAATGGGGGACTGACTTCCCAAGGCCTTGAATAACTTATTTGCACTCTGACTTGCCAAGAAATGCCTAACATTTAACCATGGAATCTTATTTTTTAAGGACTGTCTTACTTTGGGACTAACTGGCTCTCACTGTGGAAAAGCTGGGTTGGCAGCTAAAAGACAGGTTTAGGAATCAAGAAGACCATGGGTCCAAGCCGGGCACAGTGGCACATGCCTGTAATCCCGGCACTGAGAAGGCTGAGGCAAGAAGATCGTTGCGAGTTCGAGACCAGCCTGGGCTACAAAGTGAGCTCAAGCCAGCCTGAACTGCATAGTGAGACCCTGTCCCAAAAAGACACACACACACACACACACACACAAGACAACCATGGTCCTGGTCTTGGCTTTGCAACTTCTAGTATGTATAAATTTAGAAAAGCTAGGCCGGTCATAAATGGTAGGCGATACTTTTTCCTCACATTAAATCCAGACTGACTCAGTACCTTACCTACATCAGAGAGCACCCGGATGCAGCTCTCCACAGAGGCTTTCTGGCTCGGCATCAGCCAGTTGCAGTGGTAAACCCTGAACACGCCTTGCAGCAGTTGCACGAAGACAGGCTGGCGAGTCTGCAAGAAAGAGAGGTCCAGAGTGGTGAGATGCAAAAACTTTCCTTTGTAGATCACTGATAACCTGATCATGAACAGACACTGTTTTGAAATATAACAGATCCAGAGGTAAGAGTGGGAGAAGGTACACGGTAAGGGGCTGGGTTCCAGAGGCATCTGCTGCAGCTATGGTGCTGAATGTCCCCCAAAGAACCATGCATTAAACACTTGGTCCCCAGAGTGGCACTACTGGGAGGTGGTGAACTTTTCAGAGACAGGACCCAGTGGGATGTCCTTAGGACCTTAGGAATGTGCCCTTGAAGGGGACTGTGGGACCTGGCCTCCTCTTTGCTCTCTTCTATGCTATAGGTGAATGGTTTTGCTGTTCCACAGGCTCCCCCCATGATGAGCTGTGTCTCCTCAATCACAAAGCCACAGGGCCAAGCAATCATGGCCTGGAGCGAAAAATAAACCTTTCTTCTTAGAAGTCCATATTAACTCAAGTACTTCATGATAGTGACAGAAAGCTGACTAACAGAACCTACCTAAGGAGAAAAATTCAGAAGCATTTAAGGCAGTACTCAAACTTGGTATTATCTAAGTTTGAGAATAAAAGTCAGCCATGGAGTCAAAGTCCCAGGATGAGTATTCTTATCCATTTACCAACTAGCTGTATGACTTGAGGCAAACTGCTTAACCTCTTAGTTTTAATTTCATCCTATGTAAACAGATTGAGGCAAATTAACTCCAAAATCTTTCCCAGCTATTATGCCCTATGAGTAGAACCCATATTTTTACTCCAGGAATACAAACTAATACTAGAGTATTACTTATTCTTTGCTTTGGGGAATGTCTTCAATGATACAAAGACAAGAGTTCTGATGGGCAGCCTATAAATATTCATTTACTATGGAAGAATACTTAGCAGTTAACTATATGAGAGGATTTATTGCTGTCAATGAAGGTATAAACTTGTACTCACTTTGAGAGAACCCATACATCTACTGTACTTAATCAATTTGACACTGTCTTTATGAATGCACTAAAACTTATAACTGGTTTCAACCCAAAGGGTAGTTTTGGACCCGAAAGGCAACAATGGTTATATATGGTGAGCTACTCCAGGGGTCTTTGTTTTGGAGATGACTCACCTAGCCCCTCAAAACAAAAGTGAAAATTAACATAGCAAAGAAAATAGTATCAAAAACTCTAAAGAGATTTCTAAGGTGAAAGAAAAACAATGAAAGGTACTAGGGTAAAAAAACCCAACTCTATTACAAGAAAACATAAATGATTAAGAAAACATTCAGCATTTCCTCCATAAATACTGTTCAGACAATCTCCCCTTATGAAGAGCACACTGTGTCAGACACACCACAGGGTCTCATTTGTTCCTCAAGCACAATTCCGTGACACAGGAGTTACCTTCATGCCATACACAAGAAAGACTCACAAAGGATAAAAGTAAGTATACAAAAGAATTAAGAATTGATAGCAGAGCAATGAACGACTGTAGGGCTCTTTGATGCCAACGATCCATTCTCTCTCCACTAAGTTCTCCTGGGAACCACAATCTCGGTGCTTTCTTCAAGAAGCATTTTCTGTCCCCTCCCTCAGAGCCATGTGAGACAGGGAACCGTGTTACTAATAGAGAACGGGAACACGGGAACTTGAGGAATTGGCCGAGAAACCTAGTGTTAGTTCCCGACTTCTGGGGCTGCTTCTTAGCTCCTGAGTTAACTCCAAGGGCCCCCGGGGAACAGCCACAGACCCTGAGCTCTTCCTACACGCCTGAGCGCCCCCACCCAGCCCCCTCAGCCCTCACCGCGATCCTGTGAAGTAAGCAGCGGCATAATGGTAAGTGCTGGGCATGGAATGAAGACGCAACAGCCTAAATCACAGAGAAAAGAGTCTTTTGATCAAGTTAACTCAATAAAGCAAGTATTCAGCATCAGGTCCTCCTCACATCTGACACCTGGGTATACAGAAAATGAATAAACACAGAATAAGAACAAATCTCCTCACTGCACACAGGCATCAACTTACTCGGCCCCTGGCACAAAGGACATGACTGCTGCTGTGCTTGGATACCATTTAATCAGCTGAGAGGCCCCAAGGACCCACCGCAATGGAGTGCTCGTTCAGCAGGTTGGCGCTACTGGGAAGTGGCAGCTTTGAGTGCTCTGGGGTCCCTACGGGTTTCCCACGAAAGAATCTGGGATTGTTTCTTTCCCTGTGCCTCTGCCCACCCCCAAATCAATCCTCTCGCTTCCTTCTCTCTGCTCTGGTTCACTATATTTTTCTCCAACATGCATCTCACCACAGCAGCCTTCACCAGAACTGAGCCAATGCAGGCACCAGGCCTTTGCACCTCCAACCCTGTGAGTGAAATAAACCTTTCTTTCTTTCAAAGTTAGTTGCGTCGGGTATTCCGTTATCTCCCCTTTCTTAGATCCTGAGGCTCCCCTTGGTCCTGAATCTCACCCTGCTTGCATAAATCCTTGATCTTCCCCTGGCCTCTTTTACCTCCTGTCCTTAATCATGTCTTTCCAGTTCCCTTCGAGTCCACTACCTTGTTTTCTTGACCAAGTCTGCAGTAAGTCAATGCTTACCTGTGGTCTCTGCCACTCTTCTGGATCTCACGTATTGATTTCTTCACTCAAAAAAATTGGCAAAAATAGGTGCCAGGTAGAATGCCAGGAATATGGGTGGAGCAATGTATGAAACAGCTATGCCCCCCAAGGCATAACTTTGCCCCCCTGTAGCTTACAGGCTAGCAAGGAACAGTGCATGCTGCCACGTACAAATCACCTACTATGCGCCAGGCATGATAATGGAGTTTTCATAAATATTATCTCTAATTCTCGCCATAACCTGCAAGGCTGCTATTCTATGCTTGTCTGACATATAAAAAAAGAGGTTTTGAAGTTCCTCTTTGTCACAGAGATGACAAGGAGTAAAATAAGGATTTTAACCTAAATGACCTGCTCTAAAGCTTCCAAACTCTGTTCTCCTCCTGGGATTCACAATGTCCAGCTGCATCTTGGACATGCCACTGGCACTCAACTACTTGGCAGTTTACCCTGAGCACCAACTGGGCGGTATGTTTGTTTACATACTGACTATCCCGAGCACTGCTCTGGCAGCTGTTGAATGTTTTGAGATATACCATACACAGAAAAATTGCTGAATAAATTTGACAAAATTGTCATTTTTATATTTCCTGTTATAACAATTAACAAAAATATGCAATTTTTGGTCATCTTGTGTTTAAAATAATTGGACTGGTAAGTGGTTAAACACACTGCAGCCAAGCCGAGGCTCAACTTTTCCCTCCTTCACATATGTGGGGAGAGGGCCAGGGATACAGCTCAGCAGCACAGTGCCTGCCTGGCAAGTGTGAGGTCATGAGTTCAATTCCCAGGGAAGGAAGGAAGGAAGGA